TACACTGGACAAAGAAGTGAAGAAGAGTGCACGCAAAGACGAAAGAGACTTCCATGACACACTGGTAAGTGAAGAAGAACAGGATGCAGGTAGTTGAGACAGAGACCCGACCACATTATTTATATCAAATAACCAGGTTACTATCTGGGTGGGAAGAGATCAAGTTGGATGAAACCAAAAAAGGATGATGAAGGAAATCTAATTACGGAAGAGGAGAAACAAGGGAAACAATGTTGTGACCACTTCGAAAAACTCTTGAATCGACCACCACCACCACCACCTGCACTTCGTCCAGAAATACCACCTGCAGACCAGTCCAGCCCAACCCAGCCACAGAACTACAAGTGAACACAAATCCTCCAACAAAAGTCGAAATCCTGAACGCTATACAACTGCTGAAATGCGGGAAGTCAGCAGCGCCAGATGGAATCCCACCATAAGCACTGAGAGCAGATGCAGAGACAACAGCAGCGGACTCGCTCACACCATTATTCCAGAAAATCAGGAAGGAATGGAAGGAAAAGTACCTGCTCAACGATTGGAAGAAGGGCTGTCTTGTCAGACTGCCGAAGAAGGGTGACATAAGAACTGGTGAAGGAACTGGTGTGGAATCATGCTTCACTCCTACCCACTCCAAGCAAAATATTATGCCGCATCATCCTGGAGAGAATGAACAATGCTCTGGATTCAAAACTACGACCGGAACAGGCTGACTGACTGACTGACTGACTGGCTGGCTGGCTGGCTGGCTGGCTGGCTGGCTGGCTGGCTGGCTGGCTGGCTGGCTGGCTGGCTGGCTGGCTGGCTGGCTGGCTGGCTGGCTGGCTGGCTGGCTGGCTGGCTGGCTGGCTGGCTGGCTGGCTGGCTGGCTGGCTGGCTGGCTGGCTGGCTGGCTGGCTGGCTGGCTGGCTGGCTGGCTGGCTGGCTGGCTGGCTGGCTGGCTGGCTGGCTGGCTGGCTGGCTGGCTGGCTGGCTGGCTGGCTGGCTGGCTGGCTGGCTGGCTGGCTGGCTGGCTGGCTGGCTGGCTGGCTGGCTGGCTGGCTGGCTGGCTGGCTGGCTGGCTGGCTGGCTGGCTGGCTGGCTGGCTGGCTGGCTGGCTGGCTGGCTGGCTGGCTGGCTGGCTGGCTGGCTGGCTGGCTGGCTGGCTGGCTGGCTGGCTGGCTGGCTGGCTGGCTGGCTGGCTGGCTGGCTGGCTGGCTGGCTGGCTGGCTGGCTGGCTGGCTGGCTGGCTGGCTGGCTGGCTGGCTGGCTGGCTGGCTGGATTCAGGAAGAACAAATCATGTGTGGATCAAATTGCAATGCCACGCTACAAATCATCATCAGAGAACAGAGTATAGAGTGGCAGTCAACACCACTCTACCTCACATCAACTTCATCGACTTTGAAAAGGCCTTCGATAGCGTCGACTGAGAACTAATTTGACAGGCAGCTGCTTCAACAACACAGAGTGTCACAAATCTTTATCAGCCTCAATCAACAGCTTTATGAAGACGCCACACGCCAAGTGATTCACAATGGGAAGTTCAGTGACGCCTCCGAAGTGAAGTGAAGTGAAGACAGGAGTAAGACAAGATTGCCACCTACGATCACCGATGATCTGTGTGATTGTGGTCGACTGAAGTGGATCATGCAGCAGACCGTGAGTGGTGAGAAGATGAGCATATGCTGGTTGGACCGATGAAAAGACCACAGAAGAACATTTGGATTTCGCCACCTACGATGATGATGATCTATGTCTAATGTCGCAGAAACTCAAAGATCTGCAGGCGAAAATCAACAAGTTCATAGAGGAGGCAGGGCAGCAAAGGAAGACGGAACTTCACTCAGGTGAGCGCAGAGAAGACACAGGTGATGCAGATACCCAACCACCACCACCACCAACAACAACAACAACAAGGATAACAAACGCCAATCACCACCAACACGAGAAGTCTAAATCAAGTTGTCTCTCTCATCTACCTACATACCTAATTAGGTAGCATCGTCTCAACTACATGTGCTGGCACACATAAGGATGTCAAAGACAGGATCGGAAAGACAGCAACACACGTCTTCATTCACCAATCTGAAATCAGTGTGCAGATCTACTCCACTCCACTCCACTCCACTCCACTGCACTACACTGCTCTGCACTGCACTCACCATAAAGCGTGAACAAGATCTGGATTTTCAACACTAATATCATTCAAGTCAGTACTCCATGTGATGTTTGAGAGACTTGGTGGTGCGTTACGAAAAGCATTTCCAACAAACTGCAGACATACATCATCAACAGTTGTCGACTACGCTCACTCACTCGATACTGAAGATCAGATCAGATACCCAGAGTAATAAGAATAGGCAAAGAGGAACTCACTCTGGTTTGCCAACAAACAAACCAACAACCTATCATCAGCATTAACGTCAGTATGAACTTCATATTGAAGTTAGTGCTGATGATGTCGTCTAGCAAGGCGATGAAAGCTTCACGATTAAACAACCGAGTTCAGAGAACACAATACACCAAGACCTTAGACCCTTATTTAGTTAATAAAATAAACAGTATCAAATAAGCATTGATAAACCAGACATATTGATTGATTTATCGGTAGTCACTGATGAGGGGCAACTGTCATTCTCTCTAGTCCCTATTTATTTATTTATTCCAGTTGGTCAAATCTGACATCCGGCCATTAGGGCGAACGGATTACCACGGTGATGTGTTGTATTTTAGGCTTTTAATGCAGAGCAACCAAAGCCTGTCGCTGATTACCTTCAGTTATTTATCAGACAGATATGCCTCACTTTTCTCTTTAGTCATCTGAAACTATGATGCCAAGAACAGAGAAATAGACATTATATCATTTGTTACTAGCTGTAGCCCCTAAAGATTAACAGTAGCACCTTTGAAAGAGCCTTTCAATGTTACATAACCTTCTTTTTATGAATCCTTCAGTAACATGAAGATTGTGAATACACCTTTGGGACCTCAATCAATAGACGTAAAATGAAAGTTCATGAGTCCGTAATGGCTGACTTCATCCATTTAGCTCGAGATATTTTTTATGAAGTTTATAATTATAAGAACACAACCATTAATTTGACTATAATATGTTTGCCGAAATATATTCTCTAAAGTTTGAAGTTTTTGAAAATTGTATTCCTAAAGGTTACTTCTAAACACCACTCAACATTAATAATTGAGGCAATAAATTCTCAGATTTCTCAAACAGGTTTTTATTCTAATTTGCGGATTCATGAATTTATGGGCTTAGTCAAAACATGAATAAAGAATGTTTACATTCGATAATCTCTAAAGTATAACTAAATGTTTCCAAGTACTCATTGACCTATATTCATCAAAGTCACTCCATTTTTTAAGACAGGCTCTAAATTGTTTCGAGTACGGTGACCGGTTGATGAATGGCTACTAGTCTCATAATCTATTCCCTGACAATGATCTAATCCCGCCCGACCAACTTAAAGAACAGCATTACCATAAATTATCGAACAGGATGTCTTGAATTTTTTTTTCATTTGTCTCATTGAAGTTCATGCTCTAATATTCAATTTCATCTACTGAAAAGCGGCAGTCAGTGAATCGATCTGTGAACCAATTAAATGTCAATGAAAGCTTTACTGAACCTGGCTAACAGATTAAATTAGCTACTAACAATAAATGGTGCCATTATTTACTTGACTGGTTTTCACTTAAAACATTAATTAGACAGGAATTTAACCCTTAGAAAAAACAATAAGAAGACGTTAATTGTCTGAACGGTGTAATGTATTTGTGTAACACATTTCTAACTATCCGATTATACATATACTTGTTGTAGGTATTAATATGAAGATTCATGATATAAAGGGCAGGAAGATAAAAAGATGTCAAGTAGGAAGGCTGAATTAAAGACTAAATAACAATGAAGATTAATAGAACGAATATAACGGTACATCGAACTTGGTTTTCATAGTGAAATCCAGTGTGATAACAAATTCACGATATAACGCGACTATCACCCAAGGTCTTAAGTTGGCATCCGCTATAGTTTGGTATAGTCCACATTAGTGACATGTTTCTAGATGGATATCACGAAGTTCTAATGAGAAGTTGTCACATGTGGGGTCAACCAGTCGGAAGGAAAGTGGATGCTAACTGAAGAACTTAGGTGATAGTCCGCTATATCGTGAATTGACAGAAGTTGTAAACTGTGAATTCTTGAACTCCGACCCAGTGGTTGAATGGTTAACACACTCACCGTGGAACCCGAAGGTCCTGAGTTCGACCCCTAGGGAGCCGGGTGGTGGGTATGTACTAATGAGGAGTCCCACACTAGGATGAAACAGCTGTCCCCTGCTCCCATGTTTTCACTGGTTTCTCAACTGATGTCAGTCCATGATGAATACTACCTCTAACAAATTGTTTTTGAACACACGAAGGTGGCTTAAACTTCCTAATAGCTTACACTTCAACAAATTTAAGGATTCGTCCCCAACACATCTTGTAAATAGATCTAAAGGAAGAAGTCACCTCAATCCTATAACCTGTCTCAACGACATGATTTGTGATAAAGGGACTTGGACGTCTGCTACCAACTTTTATGGGTCCAGGTGGGTTAATTTACTTCTAAAACCGCTTTGGAATATGTTCCGAAGCCCTTCCTTGCATGGATCTATGATTCCTCCCTATGTACGTATCACTGCACGTACATTTGAATTGGTAGATGCAACAGGATCTGACATTGTCGTTCATATGCTGTAACGATTTGGGAGAATAGACGGGCTTAGCGGTTTCCACTGATCGAACCCCAGCTGTATAGTAAATCCTTTTAAATTTAACCTGAAGTGAGTACTTATTTTGCTAAGAAGTCTCAAATGAGCTGTGCTTTTTTAAACCAGTATATAAGGTATCTAAAAGACTATTTTCAACTACACTAAACTACTTTCTTTGAATATCACTTCATTAAAACAAGAAATGATCAAACAATAAATGGTAAAAGGAAGCGAAAAAAGATACTTACCCATAGCAAAAATATGTAACAAACTATATATGGAAATAAAGCATAGAAATATATTTCCTATCACGATCACTAACAGCACAATAGATAGGAATCCACATAATTCTGTTAAACAGTCTGATAGCAGAACAAATAATGCTTCGATAATAAATTGTGTTGTACTTTGCCACTGGCTTCCAGAATTTCTTATGAATGAATTTAAACAGACAATAAATACCTAAGTAATAAAATAAAACAGAAGAAAGGGATATGATTATACTAACAAATTTCCCAATTGAACAGATGATCGTTTTTGCTATTCAACCCCATAATCATATGCAAACTTAGTTTCTATCTATAACCGAATTCAAAAGTACTGGCATACCTACTGTCATGTCGGATCCTAATGGCTCCTCAGGGTTCTATTTAATAAACCCATTATGCAATAGTAAATCGAGTCGGCTTATAACAAGAGCGATCATACCCAGAAAAACAATGTTGTTCAGTCCACTTGGCTAAAAGCTTCAAGTTCTTGATATGATCAAAGAAATCAGGTTGTTTGAAAAAGGAAATGAGTAGTTCAATGATAGGGGTTGTTAGTTACCTATTGGATAATACTAAAAATAGGCATAGCTAATTTGTAGGAAATTAATCACATTCATATCTCGGACGGTTTTACACCATACTATCCCTAATATTGATATTACTAAACACCATCAGGAGATCATTATATCTTAAAATTCAAAAGCCATTTGAGTGAACAAAGAATATCAAGAACAAGATATTCAGCGAAGTGACTCTTTCCAATGAATTTATTTTCAAGCTCTGCAGTCGTATATATATGGTATTTGAAAAAATTATATCCCGTTAGGAAAACTAAATACTATATGATGATGACAATAATAATAGAGCGGATGAATATTCTCTTCGATAACTTCCTCTTCAGGTCCTAAAGTTATACACACACATAGAGGAGTTATAAGTTAACAGTACTTAGATTTCAGTTATCCCTTTGTTAATAATATTATATATATATGAGGAAGTCAATTCAAAAAAGTCTTACGTGAACCTTATTGATAGAAATAATTGTTAGTGGAATTCAATGCAAAATAACTGAATGTCTAAACGTCAATACGACACAGGTGATGCTACAAGAGGAAGGAAGGTTTAATAAAATAATGGAGACATGTGTATGAAGGTTGGGTGCAATAAACAAAGATGGATGATTATAGGAATAATAACCTAACAGAATTTTACTCATGGGAAGGAACGAAATAGGCTGAAAGAATGTGTTAAAACAATTTGAGATTATTGGGATGAAGGGATATCTACAGTGTGAAATCAGAAAGTTGGATTATGTGGAGTAAGATGCTAAGGAATTTGGGATTTCCAAATCTATTCAAGGTAGTTGGAGTGGCAGTACTTGCTTTTTGAGCACATAACTCAGCTCGTTCAATCGTGACTGCCACTGCTTCTGCTGTCTGAAGGGCTAGAAACTGGGTAGCTTTTGACAAATTGATGGTAATCCAGTATAGAATGGAGAACGATCCATTGACATCTACTTTATGGTTCATCTCATCTGTGAAGCTGGTACTTGTCTCTATCACACCTTTACTTAACCACACTAGAAGGTGTTTGCGAGAACGGGAAATTAAATTCGTAGAGCAGTGGCCAACGTGACTGATTCCACAGAAGCAGTCAAATTGATAAACACACCAGGAAGTGGCTAGTGTAGGCAATTCATCTTTCAGTCTCGTTGTCATTACTTGTATTTTACCAGCATTAAACGTTTTCCGAACTGATCTCCGCAGTTTGTGAATGATTATCTCACTGAGCACTTCAGTTCTAAATTATGGACGAATGTACAGCGTTTTCCTGTCAGCCGGTGAAATACTCCTCCTTATCACTTTCTTTCTTTATGAATTAATCTTTCAACTGTAACTTACTTTTGATCAGTAAACTGTTGGCATAGTGTCTACACTAAGAAACAGTTCAACATTGAAATAAAATCATTTTCTACAACTGTTTACTATAAGAAAGCGTTAAAAGTTTTTCATTCACTTACCCAAATGAATAAACAAACGAACAGAATGATTACAAACGATAAATTACTGAAAAGATGACTCTGTGGAAATAGATCGCTCCGCCACCAATAGGCATGTTTTAGACTCATTGCATGAATCCATAGACGAATACTTAGAAACATCATAAATACTAATTGTAGAAGAAAAGAAGAAAAACGAGGATAGAAACAAAATTATTGCATCAAAAATACCAGCAGTACAAAGCAAAATGGTTTATTAAAGTATATAGGAAATGTTACTTGAAGTTAGTTCTCATAATCAATGATTTATTGTATACCTGAACAGGTAGATATAAACACAATATGCTTACTTAATTAACAACCTATAAAGTTTGATTGTTATGACGTTTATCATCGCCTAAAAGTGTAATACATTAAATTTTAAACTTAAGTAGACTTGATATAGCTACTGACTCAAATGGTAAGATGTGGAGATTTATAGAAAACCTTAACCAAGGAACTGACTTTATCCAATGGTGATATTTATTATTATTATTACTTGTCCCTTGGGTTCCTAGTGGAACATACGGCCTCAGTAGCACACCTCCATTACACTCTCTTCTCTACAATCTTTCCAAACTGGCTCCACCACTGCCCACAACCTCTCATTTCTTCCTCACACCACCTCCTCCATGTCACCCTCACCCTCACCTCAAACACCCAACTCGTCGCTTCTCATCTAGGTTCCTTCCACTCGAGCACTGGCCTGATGCGTGATGTCACCAGTCGGCCTTCTCAGTGTATACCCAATCCATCTCCACTTCCTTCCGATGCATATATATTGAGTGACAGATTCCTTCCTGGTTGGCTCGTTGCCAGCCAGTCAGTCAGCTAGATTTCCTCGTTGCCTATTATTCTCATTATTCTGGCCATCTCAGCTTCAGTAACGAGTGAGCGTAGGCAGCAGCTGTTGATGGATATCTGTAGTTTGTTGGAAATCCCTTTCGTAAAGTGCCAAGTCTCTTAACCATCACATAGCAGCACTGAATTGACTGATGTTGGTGTTGAAAATCCTGATGTTGTTCACACTGTGTGCTGAGTATAGCAGACCTGCACACTGGTTTCAGGTTAATGGAAGACTGTCTTGCAGACTTTCCGATCGTGGCTGGCTCTGACATCCTCGTCTCTGCCGCCACCTGTGGTTGAAACAGTGTTGCATAGGGAGGTGAAAGAGGCTACTTCCTTTAAGTTTCCCCCGTTGATGGTGATTGGAGTTTGTTGTTGGTTGGATATCTGCATCACCTGTGTCTTCTCTACGTTCACCTGAAGGAAGTTGCGTCTTCCTTTGCTGACCTGCCTCTTCTGTCAACTTGTTGATTTTCGCCTGCAGATCTTTGAGTTTCTGCGACAATAGACATAGATCATCATCATCATCGTTGATGAAATCCAAATATTCTTCTGGTGTGTTTTCATCGGTCCAACCAGCGTATGCTCATCTTCTCACCACTCACGGTCTGCTGCATGATCCACTTCAGTCGACCACAATCACACAGATCATCGGTGATCGTAGGTGGCAATCTTGTCTTACTCCTGTCTTCACTTCACTTCACTTCGGAGGCGTCACTGAACTTCCCATTGTGAATCACTTGGCGTGTGGCGTCTTCATAAAGCTGTTGATTGAGGCTGATAAAGATTTGTGACACTCTGTGTTGTTGAAGCAGCTGCCTGTCAAATTAGTTCTCAGTCGACGCTATCGAAGGCCTTTTCAAAGTCGATGAAGTTGATGTGAGGTAGAGTGGTGTTGGCTGCCATTCTATGTTCTATTCTATGATGATGATGCTGTGTGGCGTGGCGTTGCAATTTGATCCACACATGATTTGTTCTTCCTGAATCCAGCCAGCCAGCCAGCCAGTCAGTCAGTCAGCCTGTTCCGGTCGTAGTTTTGAATCCAGAGCATTGTTCATTCTCTCCAGGATGATGCGGCATAATATTTTGCTTGGAGTGGGTAGGAGTGAAGCATGATTCCACACCAGTTCCTTCACCAGTTCTTATGTCACCCTTCTTCAGCAGTCTGACAAGACAGCCCTTCTTCCAATCGTTGAGCAGGTACTTTTCCTTCCATTCCTTCCTGATTTTCTGGAATAATGGTGTGAGCGAGTCCGCTGCTGTTGTCTCTGCATCTGCTCTCAGTGCTTATGGTGGGATTCCATCTGGCGCTGCTGACTTCCCGCATTTCAGCAGTTGTATAGCGTTCAGGATTTCGACTTTTGTTGGAGGATTTGTGTTCACTTGTAGTTCTGTGGCTGGGTTGGGCTGGACTGGTCTGCAGGTGGTATTTCTGGACGAAGTGCAGGTGGTGGTGGTGGTGGTCGATTCAAGAGTTTTTCGAAGTGGTCACAACATTGTTTCCCTTGTTTCTCCTCTTCCGTAATTAGATTTCCTTCATCATCCTTTTTTGGTTTCATCCAACTTGATCTCTTCCCACCCAGATAGTAACCTGGTTATTTGATATAAATAATGTGGTCGGGTCTCTGTCTCAACTACCTGCATCCTGTTCTTCTTCACTTACCAGTGTGTCATGGAAGTCTCTTTCGTCTTTGCGTGCACTCTTCTTCACTTCTTTGTCCAGTGTAGTGTTTTATACCTTGTACTCAGTTCTTCCTTTCTTTGTGCATCCTTGCACCGGTTCGCATTCCGCTTCACCATCCTACTCTCCCTGCTCTATCACCTCCCATATGTCCATCAACACACATTCCTCATCTTCTTTCTTCTTCCTTCCTAATATGGTTATGCAGGTTTATTTCCACATAGCTTTCAAACAGTTACAGTGTTCTTCCACACAGGTTTCTTCAGGCATGTTGCTAGATATCTCCCATTTTGTCTTGATGGCTGGCTGACGTGAAGATTTTCTTCGTAGTTTCGTCCTTCACTTCAGTTTCTATTCTGGGTGGTGAACTTGAACTGTGGTCTATCTCCAACTTCTGTGAAGGCTTTCAACTTGATTTTGAAGGTGGGTGGGTTCCTTCCACTAGATAGTGGTGTGACTGGTGTGAGTGTTGTGAACCACCGACACCTGCTCCTTTTTCTTGACCTTGTGTCAAGTAGTCTGCGCCTCCACTTTCTTCAGATTGAGATGAAGTCGATCTGATTTTAGGTGTAGTGTGTCTATCTAGTGAATAGTTAAATGATATCCATGTCGCTACCTGGTGAATATCCTTGTTTTTTTCTCACGGTCTCTAATTGTCAAGTCATCAAATGCGCAGAAGTCTACAAACACTTCTCCACTCTCATTATCACTTCACCCAGTGCTTCTCGATGCATGATGATCAGTTCTCTTCCTGTGTTGTCCGATCACAGCTTGGCATTCATGTCGCCCATTAGAATTTTGATGTTGCCATCTGGTGTGGGGTCATGTCCAGTACTGATTGCAGTTGTCTATAGAATTCCCCCCTTCTTCTCTTCATCTGCATTATTTGTAGGCGCATAGCATAACATTGTATGATTGTGATTTTCCTCCCTTTTGAGTTGAATCCATCTTGTTGTCATGATGTTGATCCTGCAGGAGGATATTGGTTCCCACTGCATGAGAGAGAGAGAGCCTTCGATGCTGTTGTGGACATCGTGATAGCCACTCCAAAATTCAGTGTGCTAGTTTGTGTTTGTCGTTTGGGTGACAATATCGGAGTAGATTATTGGCTTCTCTCCAGTTGACAGTTTGGAGAGTCCACTTCCATTCCACCTGCTCTCACGAATCCCTAACACTTCAGTGCAATACCTTCTCATGTCTTTGAGAATCTGGACAGCCTTACCAGCTAGGTTCGAACGTGGTGCGGACATTCCATTTCCCCACGTTTACTTTCGCTTTCATCGAGAGAAGACGCATCAGCCAATTGGCTTCCCGAAGGCTTTCACCAGCTGCATCCTTTCGCCTCTCCGATTCCAGCAAGGAATAATTTTGTCTTTATTTTTTATATTTTGTTTGTGCTTCGAAGTTTGTTTAGCGGTTGGATTGATTTTAGGGGGTAGGGTTGCTAGACCTACGCTCAACCTTCCTTCTTTACCCGGACTTAGGACCGGCTAGTAACTAGTGAACTAGTTAACCAGGCGAGGTTAATGGTGAGATAAACAGTCGAAAATATACGTCTGTCTTATCGAACATGAAGAACAAAACTATGAACTACAAAATAAGTTCAATACAAAGGAAAAAGAAGAAAGAAAATTCAACATAAAGAATCTGATTAAATACCTGAGTTACAGAATAAGAAACAATTACTCTGATGACTGTATTGAACATGAAATGGATAAGCTGAAGATAGCATTGCAGCAAAATGGTTATACGCTAAACTTCAAAAAGAAACACATGTTGAAATCCTAGAGAGGAGATAAAGAAAGACAGTGTTGCCAAGAAGCCTATATATCTTTGACTAAGTTTCAAAGGTGATATTGCCTCGGAAATCTTAACACATCGACTAAGCAGAACAGTCAAAAAGACATTCAACGCAGCGAAACTTTTTGTCAGCTTCTCAACCAAACCATTACTGATACACCGAGCCAAGGATAGGTTACCTATGATGCGACTTCAGTGTGCATTTATGAGTTGAACTGCTCTTGTGGGGCTAGTTCCATAGGCCATACTCTATCTATGCACGCTGGTGAACATGTACCATCTTTGTTGGGGATAGGAATGACAAACAGCATCAACAGCGCAATCCTCCCACATCTAGTAGGTACCGGACATCAAATCAAAGTAGACCACACCTTTTCTGTGATATATCGTGTCCTTTTCAATCGCCCTGAAGGTGCATAACTACGCATTTTATCCATAGCGGAAGTCATAAATATCAACTAAAGAAAACCGGACTTATGTGTTCAGAAGAAATATGTACATCCACATTGTTTTCTTTGGTCAACAACTAGGTAGACATGTTCTTCATGAACTTTTTGTTGTCTGGAACAACTCTATAGTAAATCCTTGATGTCCTGTGACTACAAGGGCTTAGTAATTATAGTATGAAAAAATAAATAGAGCGAGAACAACAACTTTAGCAGAATAGCATGGATCCATTTTACTTCGTAACTTCTCATCAGCTGCTTACAACCAAAAACAATATTTACATACACTTGAATGAGTTTGGTAGAAAAAATGCTGCCTTGTAAAGAACTTATCCATGTGCTAGATAAATTGAACTCT